TTTTGTGAATACATGGGATCTTGTACGGTCTTTGCTAATGTTGTGCGGAGACGTAGAGCTCAATCCCGGACCTAGTACCGCGGAACTTCTCAAACAATTACTTGATGGTCAGAAACTTATACAAGAAAGGCTAAACGCCATTGAATCCAAGCTGCAAAAAGTTGACAAAATCGAAAAAACTGTGCAGTGCCTTGAAAAAAGGCTTGTGGATTTAGAAGACCGAAGCAGACGCAACAACCTTGTGGTATTTGGTATTCCGGAAAGCGAGAATGAATCAACCGTTGTCCTAAGCGAGAAGGTCGTTACTGAGCTTTTTAAAGATACTTTGGGAGTAGAAGTACACTCAGTAGAAAGATTACACAGAATGGGGCGTCGCCAACCAAATAAACCTCGCCCTGTGATACTGAAATTGTTCGACCATCGTGAAAAAATAACCGTTCTACAAAACTGTTTTAAGCTAAAAGGAAAGCGCATGTCAGTGTCTGAAGACTTCTCCGCTGCCACTAGGCAAATAAGAAAACAGCTCTGGGATAGCACGGCTGACCTACGCAAATCGGGAAGGAAAGTCAGACTCGTGCACGATAAAATTAGAATTGATGATGAGCTATTTGAATGGGACGACGAACAAATGACTAGAGTATCAGTTTCAAAACGCCGATCTAGGGCAAGGCAAAAAGATGCGTGACCACACAGTCACACAGAAAGTTTTACTTGCCTAAACATTAATGCTCGCAGCATCGTAAATAAAACAGCCGATTTGGAAAGCATAGTCATCGCGCACAATCCAGAAATTATAGTAATCACAGAAACATGGCTTAACAGCGACATTGGTGATTACGAAATTACACCCTCGGGTTACTGCATCCTTCGAAACGATAGAGATACGCGTGGTGGCGGAGTTGCGATTATATTCAAGGACTCGCTGGAGTTGTTGAGACTGCCCGACATCATAGGAATCGAATGTGTTGTCGTGAAGGTTATCTTGAAAGAATGTGCATTGATAATTGGCGGTTTCTATAGGCCCCCTAGTTCAGACATATCTTTCTACGAAAGGCTTAATAACTTTTTATTGCCTTATAGAAATCACTCCAGTAATCTAATGCTTGTTGGAGACTTTAACGTTCCCCACGTTGCCTGGGACAATGACTTTCCCTATGCGCTTTCAAATGAGGCTGAACATATTCTTGATCTTGTATTGTTTCATGATTTAACACAACTTGTTCATGCACCTACTCGAGTCCAAGGTACCAAACAATCAGTCTTGGATCTATTCTTGGTCAACCACAGGGTATTACAGCGAAATCCAACTATCCGAATCTTAGAGGGTATATCGGACCACAAAATTGTATGCCTGGATATGCAATTAAGCTGTATCCACAAGGTGACAAAGCGAGAAACTTTTGTTCCTGTGTTTGCACGTGCAAGTGATGTTGACGTACTTGACGTACTAGACAGCTCTTTCGCACACTTTGTATCCCTCTACGAGTCGGATAAGCACTCGGTTAATCACCTGTGGAACTTCTTCAAAAACCTTGTGACAAAGTGCATTGACGAATTTGTACCACGTAAGCGTAAAATAATACGGAACACTAACCCCTGGATAACCAAAGAGATAGTACGCTTGGGACGAAGACTTAAAAAAGTAAAACAAAAACTGAAACGGCGCAACGAAGCGTCCACAAGCAACTTGGTTTGCGCACTGAGATTGCAGCTTAAAAACTGTATTGCTGACGCTAAAGCTCATTATCAAAACGTGCAACTAAAAAAGTTTATTTCTTCGTCCCCGGCGAAATTTTGGAGGTATCTGTCACCAAATAAAAATCGGCACCTACTCTTGTCTTAGACGGCAATGCGGTGACTAACAGCTCAGAAACAGCGCGCATACTCAATGAATACTTCTGTTCAGTTTTCACTGATGATAATGGCACGGAACCTGAATTTCTTTTGTTTGGTGATTTGCCACCGATTGACAATATAGAAATAGATGAAGAGGGCGTATTTTCCCTTCTGCTCAAGTTAGATGATAAGAAATCTAGTGGGATCGACAACATACCTAATGCTTTTCTGGTGCGCTACGCAGAATGGTGTTCTAAGTACCTAAACCTAATCTTTCGGAAATCTCTTTCTCGAGCAGAACTTCCTCATGACTGGCGTTACGCCAAAATAACTCCCATACCAAAAAAGGCAAACCAGTACATACCTTCCGCGTACAGACCGATATCGTTGTTATGCGCATGTGTTAAAGTTCTGGAACACATAATATTCAAGCACCTTTCCGCGTTTATCGAAAGCAACAACATAATAGACAGTCGCCAGCATGGCTTCCGACGCGGCTTATCGACGGTTACGCAGCTACTCGAAATGGTACATGACCTTGCCTCTGGTCTGGACAAACAAAGCCAAATTGATATATTATTTCTAGACTTTGAGAAAGCGTTTGACCGCGTGTCACACCGTAAGCTTCTAATCAAATTCAAGGCGATTCTGAAAAATGACTCTTTATTAGCCTGGATCGAAGCATACTTGAGCTGCAGGTACCAGTGCGTCACAGTTGGTGGAACCAACTCGCCATCCGCGCCAGTTCAATCCGGCATACCTCAGGGATCCGTCCTGGGGCCTCTTTTCTTTTTGGTTTTTATAAATGACATTGTCCGCGATATACCAGTTAAGATAAGGCTTTTCGCAGATGACTGCGTGCTTTATCAAGAAGTGAATGATCCTAGCGACCAGCTTCTTTTAAACGATTCTTTATCTAAAATTCAAGACTGGTGTACGAAATGGCAAATGAACATAAACCCCAAAAAAACTGTTGCGATGACCATAACCCTCAAAAAAGATCCTTTAAAATTCCGATACAACCTAGGCAATCACTCCTTATCATTCGTTTCGCAATATACGTACCTTGGCCTTGTAATCACATCTGATTTAAGGTGGAACGATCACATAGCTTACATTGAAAAAAGGCTTTGAGAAAACTAGGTTATTTACGAAGGACGCTAGCTAAAGCAACCCGCGAGACTAAGCTACTCGCATATAAAACGTACGTAATACCATTACTTGAATACGCGTCGCCTGTATGGGACCCCCACACACAAGCTAACATTGATAAACTTGAATCAATACAGCGAAAATCTGTACGGTTCGTGTTTAATGCCTACCGACACGACACATCTCCATCAGCTCTTTTGGAAAGCGCTAAGCTGAAAACTTTGCAATGGAGACGTTACCATGAAAGAATGAAGTTGTTCTACCTCATATATAATGACAAGCTAGCAATTCGGAAAACCAATTACATTAAACCAATTTTGCGCCGCGAAACGCGCTCCTCCCACCCTAAAAGAATTGATGAGCTTCTCTGTCATACTAACATATATCGGTACTCCTTTTTTCCCCGCGCAATCAACGAGTGGAACAAATTGCCACCAGAGGCTCTGGAAAGTGTCGATCTGAAATCATTTCTCCGTGCGTTACCTGCTCCATCTTTCTGATAGCTACACTCCCATTTCCTTTACAGTGCCTTTGTTCTTGTGCCCATTTTAGACAAAATATTTGCCTTACAATTTGCCACGCTTGTAACTAACATGCCCGGATGTACTTTTTGAATTGTTGCTGACTATTCTTGTACTTGAACTTTTTTTTTTTTTTTTTTTTTTTTCACACAGCAAAACCTGCTGAGCACTACTTTCGTGCAGTTTTCAGTATAGCCTTGTATGGCACGGCAATTGTGGACTGCATTTCCAGTTTCCTTTCTATGTGAATCAACGCGTTCCTTTTTTTTGTACCACTGTATAATCTGTTCAATATTTTTTTTGTACTTCCTGCATTTGTGTTCATTGTACCGCCCACCCCTGCCCAAAGTCTGGCATTCAGACTGGCAGTATTCTCCTAAATAAATAAAAATATTACCTCTCAATATTTAGTTTCCTCCCAGTATTCAATATCCCTCCCAAAAAGAAAAAAAAAGCATCCAGACGGACGCTTTTTTTTTTTTTTTGAAGGATGGAAGGATATTGAATACTGGATGTGAGAGGGCCATGGGGGGCCTACCTGCTCCACTACTGTATCGCAGGTGGATATTGAATACTGTGAGTTTCCAACCCTTCTATTCAGTGACACCATGAAGCACCTGCGATGAGTTCAGAAAAAAAAGGAGGATATTTGTGTGGCGTTCCTGTCGTGTGCTAATGATTACGCAATAGTAAAGAAGTATAAAAAACAGCCTTTTTTTCTAAATCTTTGTGAGGCCTTTCCAAGTTCGTAGCTTGTTGACCAAAAACCTCGTGACATTGTTTCCGTTGCAATGCTGCAAGTCAGTGTTAAGCAGGTGTATTCATATGGATAGTCTCTCGTGGTGTCCAGTCGCATATCTCTTTTGGAAAGTCGTGCCTCGATTAAACAGACTATAATGATCTTTGGTCGTTTACAACCCAAGAATAAATACACGCTTTTCCCACACAAAGGTGGCGCGCTTGTCAATCCCCTAACAGATCACCTAAGTGTGAGAGTCGTGAAAGCTGTTTTCCTTTAGAGCCGTAAGCACATTTTCTGAGTTAATGTACAGGTGCCCCGCACAAATAAAGTAAAGGCTTGTTGTTTCGTCTTAAGATATGTTCCTTGAACAAGTAATGATCTCATACTCTATGATGAAAGTCGCGAGGACGTTCATGTTTTTGTCTTGAAAACAGCGAAAGGAGCACTGTCTATATTGACATGCTAAATATCTGAAACGTCATGAAACGGCATGACGTCACGGCAATGAGGATATCTGATTGGGTGGGTCACCTATTCTTCCTCAGTTGGATAGTGATGGCTAAGTGGAGCTTGTATTTATTCTTTGATAGCAGCCGACTTGTAGAAGATAGTTCTAACGTCTATTATTAAAGCGAGTTATATTTTGCAAGTAAGGACTCGCTGCAGAAAGTGTAACAGGAAATTATTTTTTTCATCTTAGAGTGTTGTTCAGTGACACGTGGAGTGACCGTTTATACGTCTCTTTCTAGAGCCATCAGGGGCCGCTGAACACCGGGCTGTCCACATTGACGTTGGCAGCCCTGACTCGGTGAAGAAAGCATTTGAGAACTTTGAAGGGAACAGATCGGAGCAAGCTTCCATCGTCGTCAACTGTGCCGGCATACTGCCACCACCGAAGCCATTCACGGAAGTTGCAGTAGACGAATTCGACCGCATATTGAGAGTCAACCTTCGGGTAAAATTCTTTGACTATCGGGGCTCTTGCCTTACTTCACGATTTTTTCGTTCAATGAATCGGTTCCTAACAAATTTTAATTTCTCCACGATAGTGTTCTTTTTTTTTCGTACCCGAAAAATTTATATTGATAACGCATACGCAATGACAGAACTTGTGTAGGCGACTGGAATTGTTTGCAGTTCTTAGATAGATAGATATGTTGGGTTTAACGTCCCACAACCACCATATGATTATGAGAGACGCCATAGTGGAGGGCTCCGGAAATTTCGACCACATGGGGTTCTTTAACATGCACCCCAATCTGAGCACACAGGCCTACAACATTTCCGCCTCCATCGGAAATGCAGCCGCCGCAGCCGGGATTTGAACCCGCGACCTGCGGGTCAGCAGCCGAGTACCTTAGCCACTAGACCACCGCGGCGGCGCTGTTTGCCGTTTTTAGCATCACCACTTAAAAGATGAAGCCCAGAACAGCATATTCTTTTGCATTAAGCCCGCAGCACGTGTACAAGGCATCGCGCTTTCACAGGCACTATTCCGTTCATGTCTTGTCAGAAAAAGCATCAATACCGTCGTTTCAACGGCGTCGCTTTTCTGAGGGTGCAGCCTAACGCCGGCTTTGTCCACAAGGTGTCCCAAAACCAGTCTTTCACGTTCACCGAAACGACATTTTTTTTTGTTGTTGTTTAGTGTCAAGGCATATTGCCCCGCCGCGGTGGTCTAGTGGCTAAGGTACTCGGCTGCTGACCTGCAGGTCGCGGGATCGAATCCCGGCTGCGGCGGCTGCATTTCCGATGGAGGCGGAAATGTTGTAGGCCCGTGTGCTCAGATTTGGGTGCACATTAAAGAACCCCAGGTGGTCAAAATTTCCGGAGCCCTCCACTACGGCGTCTCTCAGAATCATATGGTGGTTTTGGGACGTTAAACCCCACATATCAATCAATCAGTGTCAAGGCATCTTTCTACAAACAGGTTAGAACAGGGTCCAGGCGATGATTATGTTACTGAAAAGTTCGTCCAAAGATAACCACATCGTCCATGTAACATAAACAGATTTCCCATTCGAGACCCCGCGAGACGGCTCCCCCACATCGTTCAAACCTTTCCGGGGCATTGCACAATTCTAACGGCATAACAATAAATTAAAACAATTGATCTGGCGTTCTGGCGTAACAAAAGCCGTGTTTTTTTCTTTATCAGTCTGATCGTGGGAATCTACCAGTTTCCGGACCGCAAGTCTACCGAAGAAAAATAGGATGCTCAGTGCAGGCAGTCGATGACGTCATCGATGCTAGGGAGTGGATACACGTTCTTCTTGGTTATAGACTTGAGACGCCGATAATCAACAATGTCTTCTCCGCTCCACTTACCGGTAGATACTACGAAATTAGAATGGCTGCAAGGCCTAAAGCTTGCTGGTGTTTTAGGCACACATCGAGCATAGCTTGCGTTCGTGCAAGTTGCGAACAACCTGAGCAATTCCAGACGGTAAAATAGTCGCGTATTGATGCCGATAAGTTCGACTCGTTGAAACCGCACCTTAAGAGCACGTATAAGCGCACCTTGAAGGCAAGGGCGTTAGCGCATTTTTTCCCATAAAAAGGCTGTGACTCGAGTTAGCAGCCTGGTGTTACGTAGCGGAATTCGTGCTATTGCCATTGAGCCAGTGTGGCAGGTGTTGTGCTGCTTTGTATGGCTGAAAATTTCTAAATACTCGACTCGTCGCAGAGGCTCACTATCTATGCTGCTGATCCCGGTTTATAGAGTTCCCATACCGGGGTCAATGGTGATTGTATTGCGATCTGAACAGAACGCAAAGGCAATCTGTGTGTACAGCGATCTTTCTCATTACGGCGTTACGTTCACCAGTTAAATCCGATAATAAAGATTCGAGGCTTGTTACAGAACAAGTCAGCTGCCAGCAGGCATGCCTACTCTTTCTACTCGGGCCACATACGTTACTGTTTATCCCTTTCATTGTGCACTAAAGCTTTCAGCTCTTTCAATCACTCACCAGCACAGGTGACAAATTTGATCTAACACAAATTGATGATAAATGTTAGGGTTTTGCAGCCCAAACCACAATATGATTACGAGTGGCGCCGTAGCGAAGGACTCCGCAAATTTTAACCATCTTGCGTTTTGTTTTAACGCGCACCTAAATCCAAGTACACGGAGCTCTAGCATTTTACCTCCATCTAAATATGGCGACCGCGGTCGGGACTCGAGCCCGCGACCATAAGGTCCGTCACTGAGCCTAATAACCACCAGAACGCCGTGGAGGGTTTACGTCTGATGCAAACTGCCTGCTGTTCACGGCCCTGCATTGAAAACGATGTTGATATTATGCTCTTCCTCAAAAATGCAGGGGACCTTCCTGGTGACGCAAGCCGCGATGCACTGCATGCTACGGCAAAAGGTCACCGGGGGCAGTATCGTGAACATATCCAGCGTCGCAGGCAGGGTTGCGCGACCGGGCCTTGCTGCATACTGTGCCTCCAAGGCTGCCATCGCATGCTTTGTCAGGTCAGGTGCTCGCTAAGCTGAACCAGTTCACTAAGACTAAGATATACCAGTTAAATCGGGCTGTGCATTGCAGTTCCTGTACATCTCCTTGATTCATTGATATTAGAGCTACTTGCCTTCCTGGCAAACGTATGATGACGTCGGATGTCTGTGGATAGCCGCTTCTTGTACGCCATGCAGGACAATGATTCAGCGTATTCCTAACGTAATGTCCTTAACAACAAGCTGACGAGGAAACTGCAGTGAACCTAACTGCAGTGAACCTATCCAGTGAGCAGTGAACCTAACAGTAGCCATCAATGAGTGAGTGAGCGAACTAGTTTTACTGATAGAGGAATACTTCTTTTACGTGTATTCTGACGTTTCGCACCTAGTTCAAGTGGAATCTTAGTAAACACTGTATAGTAATCAATTAGCGCAGGTTGACCAGTCCACTAGTCACATATGTCCTTACTAACATCAGTCAGGGAGCCATGGTCGTTGTCGCTAGCCGATGCGCCACGACAAATGAAGCACTTTATTCCAGGAGTTTTCTTTCCCCCCTTTCATTCATAACCGTCGTGTCAAGTCCTTGTAAACTCATTACATTCATGAAATCACTATTTTGTAACATTTTTGCACACATACGGTTATCTACTCTCCCCAAGGCACGGCAGAGTACGCGAATTTGTCAAGTGCAGATATGTGTGAGATCTGCTCCAAAATTTGGCAAATTAAACCTGCAAGCGTATTATGGATTTGTTCACCAGATGAACTTTACTTCATGGCAATATAGACAGATCTTAGCCAGGCTGCAATTTCTCTACGAGGCAGTTTGTCTTAGTCTGGACAAAAACAGGATTTCTCTGGATTTCCTCGCTATTCATGGAAGCAATACATTCATTGAGTGGCCACTGTATGGGTGGCTTCTTTTTTTTCATAATTTACTTCACATTGGCAGGTCAGCTGCAGCGGATGCTGCCAATACCGGCATCCGCATCAATGCCGTGGCTCCGTGCATGACGGAGACGCCCATGGTCAAGGTGTTCAGCGAGGTGCAGCGTTCGAAGCTCGCTGCTGGTATCCCGATGGGCCGGGCGGCGATGCCCGACGAAGTGGCCGCCGTGGTCGCCTTCCTCTGTGGACCCGACAGCGCTTTCGTCACAGGCACCACCGTCGACGTCTCCGGTGGCGTCTAGAAATATTCCGGACGCGTTGGAAGATTCGAAATATTTTGGGCGGTACTTAAAAGGCTATGGCACCATATGTAACGGGGTGAAGGCGCACGACTTTCCTCGCTAGCGATTTTCGTGAGCAAAAGTCATAAATATTGGTTAAATTTGGTTTATTTTCTCTCTCGGAATGCTCCTGGCTTCCTTACATGTCTTTTCTTCGTTACCCTTTTCCCCCTTTCCGCTAGCCTCATCGACTTTCTTAGTTCCAAAACAGTACTACGTTGCTGCTTCAAGTAATAAACACACCGTTGCTAGTCAGCGCTTTCGTTCGTCAATTTCTTTGTGCCACTTCTACGTGCACATCACTTTAGAGGCCCGGGCTGTCGTACGCATACTGTCATCTCATGTCGTGGCTTGACGTCATGCAGACAAAACCAACGTATAGCACAACCATGTAAAGTGCAGCAAGTGGACGGGAAAAAGAAAGGAAAGCGAGCAGGAGTGATGTGAAAGTAAGGAGGAGGGAAAAGAAGGGAGAGTAAAGCACGTCATATATTCATGTTTGGCGTCGTATACGTATTCAGCATTCAATTTCTGGAACCCACATCTGTATACAAGTGTTATGAACTTTATGCTCACGTAACTAATAAAACTGAAAGTGACATTGAAACTGAAAGGCGATGTACAGCAAAGGCATGTGTAGTATGGTATAGCAAGGGTGCGGGAAAGGGAACACAGTGCGCAGAAAGGACGGGAGAAAGTAAAGCACAGCATAGCCGTGTGTGGCGTCGCACAAGCAAGAGCATGCATACCAAATAGTACAGTATGGCAAGGGGGCTGGAAAGGGAAGTATAAATCGTGAGGAGTGATGTGGAACTGAAGTGGTTAGGAATAAGGAGGGGAGAAGGTAGCGCATAGCATACACAGCTTAGTATAATACAACAAGAAGTGGGAAAGAGAACTGATGGATGAGGAGTAAAAATTGGCCCCGTATCTGCATGCAATCTGCAAATGTCATCGAAAGACGATAGTATTGCGTGTGGATAGAGTGAACAAAACTTTTATTTGATGTTCTGCGCAAGAAAATTGGTGAATGGTATTCTGGAGGCGTGGCGTTAGAGTGCCTAGAGCGGCCAGCGGAGGCTCACGAGTGCATCAAATCATGTCACACGTGAGCCATGAGTGCCATCTGGCAGTTTCTTTTGGAAAACAAAGCGCGTGACCATGCGCGCCCGTCTCAGAGGTGATAAGGTGTAGAACGCGAGGCGACGGGTAGGTGCCACCACCATCTCGTCTTAGCAAAGCGTTGGAAACACTTCCCGTCCCGTGCAAGCATTGCATGGTAAGCGCAGCGTGATAAGTGCTACGGTCCTTAAAATTACTGATGTATGCGTTTTCTAGTAAGAGGAGCATATGCAGAATACATGCGTGTTGTTATGGTGCCCCAGACATGTGCAATAATTGCTTTTTAATTGACAATTGCACAAGCATGAACGCTAAACCTTGAGCAACATTGGTGGTCGCTGCGGATGGGGTCGGCCGTTTCGTGTACCCGGTGCCGGTAAGAGTGGACAAACAGACAAATGTATAGCCAGACAGACAGATCAAAATTTTTGCGTCGAAGGTCCCCAAGAAAGACTATCTTGAAAACAGAGCATAACCTAGCCGTGTACAGTACAGCAATGGGTAGTAAAGGTGAGGCTAAGGAGAAGGTAAAAGAAGAGGGATGAAAGAGCGTATCGCAAGCATATACTGAGAAAGAGCAAGAGGTTAATGAAAGAGGAAGAGATAACAAAAGACGCTATTCTTTGCCTCCCGATGTGGGGGCATGGCTCAGTTCCTTAAGTGATGGGGGGGGGGGGGGGGGGGAAGTAAAGATGACAGGAAGAATAGACATATACTGTCGCGCGCAGTGCAGTGCGGCAAGCGGGTGGGAAAGCAAAGTGAGAAGAACGAGTAGTGATGTGAGTGTGAGGAGAAAAAGAAGAAAGGAGAGTGTACAGCCTGTAATGGTGTGCACTATTGTATAGCAGTCTCTTTTCATTAAATGCGAAGGATTTCTTAGTGAGATTCTGAGACTTTGAACGTATCTATCTATCTATCTATCTATCTATCTATCTATCTATCTATCTATCTATCTATCTATCTATCTATCTATCTATCTATCTATCTATCTATCTATCTATCTATCTATCTATCTATCTATCTATCTATCTATCTATCTATCTATCTATCTATCTATCTATCTATCTATCTATCTATCTATCTATCTATCTATCTATCTATCTATCTATCTATCTATCTATCTATCTATCTATCTATCTGTCTATCTATCTATCTAGCCGCTTATGTTTGGGTGCTCTCGTGGTCACCCCCTTAACTTGGCGTGAACCAAAATTAGCATGGGAGAGTAAGATGGTTCGACGAATATTACGAACTGGTCAAGAAATGAATAATGTTACAATACCGTCACGTACGTCGTCAAACACTTCCCGCCAGATAGTGGCACGTACCCATGGGTGAGTATATATATGTGCCGCTGGTATGCGGGTATGTGCCACAAGTGATTGACACTTGGTATCTACCCAAGAACGACGAGAACACACATGGGCTATCTTAACGCGCGAGCGTTAAGAAATACCCAGCATCGGTAGCGTCGACCCAACGAATGCAAATAATAACTGTCAGGGTCCCAGCTGGAATTGCACCCAAGCCTTCTGGGTGGCGGTGAAGCATTCTACGACAGAGCTATGCCCGATCTCGTAACTACTTTTCAAATAGACACTAATCTTCGTGAAACAACAGTCGTGGTTGCAGTGCTGCCTACCCAATTTTATAAATAATACATAGGTACTCATTTGATACAGCCGTCACATCGGGTTAACGTCAATTGTGGTTGGTGGCCATGCGCTGAAAATGATTTATATAGCAGTGTCCAGGACCAGCATCCTCGCGAGCATCAGCGCTTCATATCAGCTTCAGGTGTTGCTACTACGCATGTTCCAGTTGGCATCGTTGCACAAGTGCAAACAACTGGTTATATAAACATCTGCAACTCTTCAACATATATCTGTGCGTGCAATATTTGTACGTACATTTAGCGTCGTTTCATGACGTGTCACTCAATAAAAAAAAATGTGACACGGTCACCTTTCCTTCGCATGCTTCGCATAACGTCGATTCCGTGGTACGAGGGATCTGCCGAATTTTTTTTTTATTTATGAAACCCTCTGGGCAGATTTATACATTAAAGAGGGCGCGGAAATATAGTTGAACAACAAAATACATGATTATGTAAACACATTGGCGTGAAGATAAATATAATGATAAATTTTTACATGCAAGGAGTACATTTTATTGAAAGACAACTGAACTCAAACCACAAAGAATACACTAAACAGCCAACAAAACTTACGCAAATTAGTACAATTCACGATTGCGAGTTTATTAGTGGATTCTTAAATCAAGCGGGGTCGGTGATGTTTACTAATGACGCAGGTAGGTTATTCCAATCTATTGAAGTATTAAGAAGGAATGATTGTGAACATGCTAAGGTGTTGTGTCAACGTACGCCGACCTTGTGCACGTGATCATGGCGAGCTGAATGGTACTGTACCGGGTGAATCCAAAGTGAGCGAAGGAAAGCATTGTGGTGATATATTTTATGAAATAATGAAATGAGTGATGCCTTTCTGCGAATAGAGAAAAATGGAATGTGGAGCGTACTCTTCATTAATGAAACACTAGCAGTACGATGATAATTAGCGAAAACAAAACGAACAGCGCGATATTGTACCGATTCGATTTCGTTATTTAATGTGACTTGATGAGGATCCCAAATGGATGAGGCGTATTCCAGTTTGGGAAGGACATAGCTTATATATAGCAGTTGATTTAATTAGACAGGTGCAAACGAAAAATTTGTTTTCAAGTAAGATAATGAGTGGTGAGCTTTTGATGTTATGTATTTTATGTGCTGCTTCCAAGAAAGGTCGTTGTAATATGAATGCCTAGATAACGGTAGGAAGGAAGGAAAATAGGAGGAAAAGAACGGCATGGAGGTTAACCACGCTTTAGGTAGCCGGTTCGCTACCCTGCGCATGGAAGGGGGATGGGGAGATGAAAAATAGAGAGGAGAGAGAGGGAATAGAGATAAACACAGCTCATTCAGCAGCAAACGCGCGCACACTCAGTCATAGTAGATAACAGTAAGTGCTAACAGATTGAAGGGGACTGTTATTTAGTGTGTAGGTAGGGCAGGTTGTGTTGGAATGAGAAATGCGCAACGATTTACATTTATTAGTGCTGAGTTTTATGCACCATGTGATACACCGCTTATATATGTTGTTCAAGTCGGATTGAAGGGTGGCTATGTCAGAGGCATCATTTAATTATTTGTGTATCACAATTAATGATGCCCAGTGTTTCTGGGCATCATTAACTTTGCGATACACAACATAGCTACCCACTAATAAAAAAATTTTGAGGCAAGGTTGTCGCGTATATCATTAATATATATTAAAAATAAAATAGAACCTCGGACGGACCCTTGAGGAACACCTGATTCGACAGTAGTCGAATCAGATGTGAAGTCATTCGCAACCACGAATTGAGAACGGGAAGAAAGGAAACTTTCTATCCAGCCAAGTACTCCCGGATCAATGTTTAGTTCGCTTAGTTTGTGTAGAAGCAATACATGTTTAACTCTGTCAAATGCTTTTGAGAAGTTCAAAAAATACAGTCTGTAAAAAAGCCGTTATCAAGATACACGTGAAAGTCATTAGTGAAAGCTGAGTCTCACAGAAAAATAATTTGAGATAGCCGTGTTGACTTCTAAAGAAAAAATTGGCACGAATCTACATGTTACACTGTAAATGTCGTCGAAAGACGATAGTCTTGCGTCTGGAGAGAGTGAACAAAACGTTTATTTGATGTTCTGCGCAAGAAAATCGGTAAATGGAATTCTGAAGGCACTGCGTTAGAGTACCTTGAGCGTGTAGTGGAGGCGAACAAGCGCATCTAGGCACGTTAGACACAAGCGCCATCTGGCAGTTATTTTCTGAAACGAAGGCGCGCACGACCACGGAGAAATATGCGCGCCAGTCTCGGAGGTGATAAGGTGTAGAATGCAAAGCGACGGGCAGGTGCCACCACCGTGTTGTCGTAGCAAAGCGTTGGAAACACCTTCTTCAGCATCGCGTTGCACTGTCAGCGCAGCGCGATAAACGCTGCAGTTCTTAGAGTTACTTGTGTGTGCCTCTTCTAGTATAAAGGCAGAAATACAAAGCATAGACGTGTTGTTATGGTGCCTCAAATAT